TGATCCTAAAATTCAAAAGAAAATCTTCGCGCAAAATCTAGAACTTTTCAGTTTGACGATGGTTTTCCCCAAATTTCGAAAATCGTATTTTGCTTATTTGAATCAGAGTCTATATTCAAACATTTAACAATTTATTACCAAAATGATGAGCTCATTGAGTTCTACAAACCCTGAAAGTTTCAGTCAATTCTGAGAAAGTTGATGTAAATGTGGTACGTTTCCCATGGATTCACCCACTATTAAAATATTTGAAGTGTTTCATAGAGTTTGCTCATCATTTATGTTATTTTATATGAGAAGAGACAATACAAACATTATTTTGACATGAAGAACATTGTAAAATCATATTTTAATGAAATTGATCGTTAAATTGAAGTAATCGAGTATAGAAATCAATGCGATTCTCTTCTTTTTCTATCAACTATTTGTTGTGTAGATTCTATTCGATATGATAGCGTAATTTTCTTTTTGTTTATCCTTTAGTATGTGAATCTCGATGAACAGATTAGAAAACCTTTAGTGACAAGATCAATCGGATGAAATGATTTCATCATTATATGATGGAATAATATGTATGAAGTCATATGAGAACGTAAAACTTCTTCATCTAACAGTAGTAATGCCTAACTAAGTGATTTATCACGATTTACGCATGAATGACTTTATGTTAAAATTTCTTTAGAGATAATAAATAAATTTTTCAATCTCATCTTTGAATACTTGACTTTGAGACAAAAAAGAACTTGCAGCTTGTACAATGCAATTTGAAAATAAATTTAAAGAGTTTTTCATCAAACTCAATTTGATAGGTGCAGGTGTGGGACGATCTCGAAATATGATCCACACTCACACCCATCGAGCGTTAAGCAACAGGTAATACTCTCCTATGAACGTGGCAATCATATCCTTGTTTGTCATATTTAAAACACACTCATGAAAGAAAATATTCGAGTATGATGGATGTAGATGTTGGACGAGGATTCTAAGTACTTTCCTTAGATAGATGGTAAAGAATGCTAGCCTGGTAGGAACAGGTCTGACATATCAGTCTGCTATAAGTCGTGAGAAGTTAGAAACTGATTCTATATCTGATCGATCAGTTCTTTAGTTCATTTGAACTCAGTTTATAAGGTTAAGTTGGTCAACCACTAATTCTAATATATTTCGAAATATATCAGTTGGAAATGTCAATATATAGCCAATCGATGACAAAAAAGAAAGTAATTTGATAGCTAATATCTAATCGATGATTATTTGAAATGTTCGAATCTGCATTGGATTGAGTGTGATTATTGTTAGGTTCGAATAGTATTGCTCTTAAAAATAAATAATATATAGATATAATATCATTCAAGACATGTTTCAATGACAATGTAACTTCCGAAGCATATCAATATGTGACGATTTTTCGTCTTTTGTCATCCAGTCGAGTCGATGCAATTCAGACAATGGTAAATTAGCAATTAATATTAATTCAGTCATCTCATTTATCGTACCAATACTTTTGAACAATATTTGAAGATCGATGGTTACCGGTTTTGAATATAATTCATCTTCATTCAATTCAAAATAATGCTCGACACGCACAAGATATTGTTTGGGAGCTAATTGATCGAATGTTAGTAAGTGTACATTTAATGGCATTGCATCCGATAGAGCTGATCAACTTTGACGAAACATATCCGAATAATTCGTATAAGACGATGTATTTGGTAAGGAATAAGTTGCCAGAGGATGCATAAACAATTGTTGAGCACCGGTTCGATGCAATCGAGCACTATCTAATGGTCGATCAAAAAGAAGAATATGTTTGCCAGAAACAACAAGACCTTTATCATAAGCAGTTTCATTTAAAGCTTCTTTAACACCCATTGAATCATCGTGTAATATTCGACAATGAACCATTATTTCAATTGATCCATCACAGATACTTCCTCCACCTTGGGATCGATCTACAGAATATTAAATGAAAAATGATTTTCGTTCGAAAACTGTCATTTACCAGTAAGAATGGTTAATTGTCGGTCTTGATCTCGAATCCAAATACGACTATTAATTGGATAATAATTGCTACTAATGGGATCATCAGGTATATAATGCCATGTTGGTCGATAATCACGAATACGTTCAAGAACTTGACATTCATTACCATCAGTATAATATTTCTTTTCACTATTAATATCAGTATTGTAACGAATAATAATCTCTTTANCTGTCTCTCTTCTATCTCTCTCCTATATATACATGTGTTATGTATGAAATTGTTACACTCTGGATATGTGAAGAAGCGAATAAACATCATTGCCGAGAGTGGCGGTAAGCTACTCCACCTCTATTCAGTTTGTCATGACGTATCCAGCCAGTCAGGGCCTTATTGATCGTTACAATACCCACATTCACACTCACACCCACCCACGCTCACACCCACCCACGCTCACACCCTTAAATAAAAAAGGGTTGATTTTGTTTAGAATGGAAACTATAATTAACTAATTTTAAGCACTGTCACGATATCCAAAAAGCAAACATAAAAAAGAAACAATCGACGCTTTGCATAAGATATGAATTCATCAAAATGTGTCAGGTTCTATAAACTAAGAAAAAAAAACAATTCGTATAACTGTTGAAAATAAACTTTGAATTTTGATGTGTTTATAATGTACTAACACGTTATGAATAATTTACAATTTTGTATTAAGGTCGTTTAAAAATATATTTTCGTTATAACGGTTTTATTACGAAACATTTATGCATTGTTTTTAAAGTAAAATGGGTCTAATACATTCTGGAAAAGAAACGTCGTGTTCAAGATATATATATATACATGTTTTTCTGTTTAGTGTTTTCAAGTATTGGTGGTCGGAATATAGGTTATTTATTTGATTCCTTGTTATTAATCATTTATGTTAACCAAAATTGATTTCCTTCAAATTTTTGCTTTTACTGAAAGGAAGATAATGTACGGAGCAGCTGTCATGATTAAATATTCGTTTGTTAGTGTATTTTATTAATAAACGCATTAATTTATTTTACAGATACGAATTATGAATAGTCATGCTTCATTAGTTCATCAAGAAAGTATGAGATATGATACATATCTGTCTTATTTATATAATATCCACATTATTTCGTCTAAACTATATCATTATTTTTAGTGTAGCAAAATAACTTTCATTCATTTATCATTCGTACACGATTCAATCTTACAACCAAATTAGTGTCCACATTAAAAGTAATTGATTTATTGATGATGACTATTTTCATTATAGCCAGCAAATCTCGGAGTCACTTTAGGATGAGGATATTGACGATATGTATGCAAATGAAGCTGAATTCACTCGTCGAGCATTGCTTGCTTTGATGACAAATAAATATTACATTAATTCATGACCAATATGATTTTATTAATGTATATAGGCACGAATAACCACATAATCAAAAATATTGTAATTAAATTGAATCATGGTTGATGCTATGCATTCAGCATGAAATTCTCTCCCATGGTAGATACTCTTATTTATCAGATAGATTATTAAAATATTTGAAGTTTTTCATAGAGTTTACTCATCATTTACGTTATTTTATATGAGAAGAGATAATACAAAAATTATTTTGGCATGAAGAACATTGTAAAATCATATTTTAATAAAATTGATCGATAAATTGAAGTACTCAAGTATAGAAATCAATGTGATTCTTTTTTTTGCTACCAAATACTTTTTGTGTAGATTCTATTCGATATGATAGTGTAATTTTCTTTTCGTTTATCTTTTCTTATGTGAATCTCGATAAAAAGACTAGAAAACCTTTAGTGAGAAGATCAATCGGATGAAATGATTTCATCATTATATGATGGAATAATATGTATGGAGTCATATGAGAACGTAAAATGTCTTCATCTAATAGTAGTAAAGTCTGAATAAGTGATTTATCACGATTTATGCACGAATGACTTTATGTTAAAATTTCTTTAGAGATAATAAATAAATTTTTCAATCTCATCTTTGAATACTTGGCTTTGAGACAAAAAAGAACTTGCAGTTCGTTCAATACAATATGAAAATAAATTTGAAGAGTTTTTCATCAAACTCAATTTGATAGGTGCAGGTGTGGGACGACCTCGAAACATGATTCGCACTCACACCCGTCGAGCGTTAAGCAACAGGTAATACTTTCCAACGAACATGGCAATCAGATCCTTGTTTGCCATATTTAAAACGCATTCATGAAAGAAAATTTTCGAGTATGATGAATGTGAATGTTGGACGAGGATTCTAAGTACTTTCCTTAGATAGATCGTGAAGAATGCTAGCCTGATAGGAACAGGTCTGATATATCAGTCTGCTATAAGTCGTGAGAAGTTAGAAACTGATTCTATATCAGATCCATCAGATCTTTAGTTCATTTGAACTCAGTTTATAAGGTTAAGTTGGTCGCCCGCTAATTTTAATATATATATCGAAATATATTAATTAGAAATGTCAATGTATAGCCAATTGATGACAACAAAGAAAGTAATTTGATAGCTAGTACCTAATCGATGATGATTTGAAATGTTCGAATCTGCATTGGATTGAGTGTGATTATTGTTAGGTTCGAAGTATATTGCTCTTAAAAATGAATAATGTATAGATATAATATCATTCGAGACATGTTTCAATGACAATGTAACTTACGAAACAGATCAATATGTGACGATTCTTCGTCTTTTGTCATCCATTCGAGTCGATGCAATTCGGATAATGGTAAATTAGCAGTTAATATTAATTCAATCATCTCATTTATCGTACCAATACTTTTGAACAATATTTGAAGATCGATGGCTACCGGTTTTGAATATAATTCATCTTCATTCAATTCAAAATAGTGTTCGACACGCACAAGATATTTTTTGGGAGCTAATTGATCGAATGTTAGTAAATGTACATTCAATGGCATTGTATCCGATAGAGCTGACCAACTTTGACGAAACATGTCCGAATAATTCGCATAAGACGATGTATTTGGTAAGGAATAAGTTGCCAGAGGATGCATAAACAATTCTTGAGCACCCGTTCGATGTAATCGAGCACTATCTGATGGTCGATCAAAAAGAAGAATATGTTTGCCAGAAACAACAAGACCTTTATCATAAGCAGTTTCATTTAAAGCTTCTTTAACACCCATTGAATCATCTTGTAATATTCGACGATGAACCATTATTTCGATTGATCCATCATAGATACTCCCTGCACCTTGAGATCGATCTACATCATATAAAATGAAAAATGATTTTCATTCAAAAACTATCATTTACCAGTAAGAATAGTTAATTGTCGGTCTTGATCTCGAATCCAAATACGACTATTAACTGGATAATAATTGCTACTAATGGGATCATCAGGTATATAATGCCATGTTGGTCGATAATCACGAATACGTTCAAGAACTTGACGTCCATTACCATCAGTATAATATTTCTTTTCATTATTAATATCAGTATTGTAACGAATAATAATCTCTTTACCGATATTATCATCTATTGGAATCGGTCCAACTGTCCATTCAATTTCAATTGCTGATGCATTACGATAGAGATTGAATTCTTGACTAGTCCATTCATTGAAAATAATCAAGGCACTTTGTACGGTGTCTGTTTTCGTACAGTTTCTATTATTATTATTTTTCGAAATAAAATAATCTTTAAGAAAATCATTTATTAAACAGAATTACTCACATGCGACGAGCAACACTCACTGGTAATGCCTCTGGAAACAACGGCCGAAATATGTAAGCACCTGATGCTGGTGAAAATGGAGTACTATTAACATGAGAATAGCCTAGAACAAATTATATGAAAATTTCTACCATCTAGAACAAATCTAGATAAACGTCATGAGCAAAATAACTTACTAGCATACCAGTATAAACCCTGTTCAGTAAAGGATACTCTCAAATTCTTTTCTAAATTGATAATGTGCTTCAAATAGCCTTGATTATTAAATTCTACACGTAAAAACTAGCAATAAAAAAATAATCTATCCGTATTAGCATTCAAAAGTGATGTCTTACTTCGTTCTGCAGAATACATTCCTCATTTGTCGTTGTTATTACTTTCTTATGTTCGATCTTCTTCGTATCAACTATTATCAACAAACGAAATTTATCGATAATTTTTGAATAAAGCAACAGTTTCTGACCTTTACCTTTTTCTTCAAAATAATAGGTACTGTAGCCAAGTGCTGGTAATGATGCTGGAAATACATATTGATTTTGAGCAGAACTTATTCGACCAGGAATGTTTTTCGTTGTGTCTGGAATCATAAGATACTATAAAAGAAAGGAAAATAACGATTTCTCTTTTTCGCCGTGCATTATTGATAATGTACCTCTGCTGAAACAAGATTTCCTATTGGATCATAAATTAAATATTGTCTAGTTACGGGTACACGATAATAAATTGTTACTGGATGAATAGTTGGATTCCAAAGTGTCAATGTGAACTACAAAAATAATTTAGATAATCTATCATGTTCTATTTCAAGAAAAAAAGAATCCTTTCAAAATATTAATCATTTATATTAGTTTTGTA